TAGGTCATTATAATATTACTATAATATAAAATAAAATAATAAAAAGTGCATATAAAGTACGTATACGAAAAAACAAAATTTTTTTGCTCGACTCTTCGACGCCCTAAATTTATGTTCCCATCTTCCCTTACGCCGATCATTGTGACAGTAGTGGGTCGAATCTAAGCTTGTGCCAAATGATTAACCTGGAGCGTGCCATGACCTGAGTTTTTCAGTTTTTTGTTTGACACTGGGTACCATAATGCCACAACCGAAAGCTTGTAAAATTATTTCCTAGATCATATATTCTAATCGTAACACTGATTTCAGATATACTCCAAAATGCACCTCTTGATTTTGAAATAATTAATAATTTTCTGAGGACGGGCTCCCAAGACCCCCACTTTCGCTCAAGAGCCAAAGGCACCCTCAATTTCTGCTCTCTTTTTCGACATAAATGAGTAAAGCTGGCTCAAATCACTAAATTTGGTGTCGATAGATATACTTCCTAATGGCGTAGCTAGTGTTAGTGCCACCCTGAAGGGGGGGGGGGATTTTTGCAACTCTCCTTTTCACGGTACAAACTCTGCAGTTGTATGCAAATTGCAAAGCTCAATAAAAGAAAACGTGACACCTGAAACACATTATTTTCATCCAATCCATTAAATATTATCAAAGCCCATTTTGGGACCCCAACTAGTCTGTCGCTCTGGCAATCTTGCCCACTCAGCCCCCATAGTTACGCCTTGACCACAGGCACTGCCCACGCGACGATCTGAAATACCCCCCAGGAAGACATTGTCTGAAAGGTACATTGCTTGTAAATAAAATTATTGCAATCTTGCCATGTTACAGGAACGATGTATCTGGAAAAACCACTCGATATAGTTTCATGTAGATATGTGACGTATGATATGTAGGTCAGGTACCCTGAAATCCGGGAAGTATATTTTTGGTATTTTTATCCCTGGAAAGGGTTTGTCAGGTTGTGCCCTTTTGTAAGTTTATATTTACTGTAAAATACTATATAAAATTATGAATCTAGGGGGTGGGGAAACTAACAATAAGCTGATGAATTATACATACACTGGTGGGATATATCTTTCATAGCTTTATTTTTGCTGGAAAACTATGTACGGGCATGTTTTTGGTTTTTTTTGGTAGATACTAATGTTCCCTCTAAGGTTTGCTGGTTCGTGTGCAAAATCATACAGTTGTGTGCAAAGTTTAACAGCATCAATTTTTTTGTATGCAAAATTTTACAGCCCAAAAAAATAAACACACACTTACATGGAAATAAGGGAACATGGGTAGATACCCGAGTTCTTAAAAAAATATGTAAAAATTAAAAAAAAAATAATGCCCCTCCAAGATACAAACAAATAAAGCAATCAACAATGAAAAAAAATGCTAGTTTTAGTTTAAAAATAAATAACTGTACATATTTTCTATCCACCCCTGTGGTACTACTGCCCCCTGTAGGGTTTTAGCGAATAACACCCTCCACCTTTCCCTACGCCACTGGAGCGATTATCAGATCGAATCGAACCTGTCCACTCTTGGCTAATCAAGGTACTCATTATGGCGCCCGAAAATTTTCAAAATAAAGCAACCATTATCTAGCCCAGGCCTGCTGAACATACGGCCCGCGGGACACATGCGGCCCGCCAGCACCCACTTTGTAGCCCGCGAAGTAACGAAATATTCTTTATTCTTATTATTTTCTTAACGGCTTTCCTCCTGTCCTATTTTCTTTTGGCCCACACAAGTTTTCCATAAAGTATTACGGCCCGTTTTACGTTTTGAGTTGTGCAGGCCTGGTGTAGACACCTTAGAGAAACACTTATGGAAACTTCCCTGTCCTTATTTTTCTGGCAATTCTTTTAACAGCACTTCTGACATTAATATCGCGTTATTCCTGTATTAAAAAGAATTAGCCCCTGCTATTCAGAACTACTTATCTAAAGATATAATCTCATCAAAATGCAATGAGAAAGGTACACGAAAATACGGTACTTTAAACGTACAGACTTCATGTATAAATTAGTTTGGAGAAAAAACGTTTTCATTTATGCTATAACATATACATAACGGAACGGTTAAATTAGCCTGTCATTCAACCTACCTAGGACAACCAATCTTTCCAAATACAATAACGAGTTAACATTTCTGTTTCAATCAGAATATTCGAATTCCAGCATAGAGATAACAAGTGGTCGACACATTTTTACATCTGTATTCCCATTACTTGATACCCCGCCACACACACACAAGCCCGGAGATTCTGTGTAAATCACATGCTTAAATGTAGAGTTATTTTAACTACATTATTCAATACCTGAGTTTATTAACCACTTTTTTTTTTTTACATGTGCGCGGCTCTCCATGGGCTGTTCAAGAATCCTAACGGAAACTAAGAGTTAAAACATGCAAAAAGATTACACAAGAGATTGCACAAAATATTGCCTACACACCATATTAACACGAGGCAGTAGATCTTTTATAATAAAACAACAAAATATTGTTAAAATTCATTGTGACGTGCACAGCTAAAAGAATATCAGTTGTTCCATACTAACCTTTCGTACCGGACACCTATTTCTGTTGTCGCAAATTTTAGACATCATCGTATTATGTTATCAAATGTACACACCCCTGGTGCATTTTGTATTATTGGAATGATTTAGCAGTACACACCTAGCATCATTTCGCGGCACGCCTAGCATCATTTCGCGGCACACCTAGCATCATTTCGCGGCACGCCTAGCACCATTTCGCGGCACGCCTAGCATCATTTCGCGGCACGCCTAGCATCATTTCGCGGCACGCCTAGCATCATTTCGCGGCACGCCTAGCATCATTTCGCGTCACGCCTAGCACCTTTTCGCGGCACGCCTAGCACCATTTCGCGGCACGCCTAGCACCATTTCGCGGCACGCCTAGCACCATTTCGCGGCACGCCTAGCACGAATTCGCGGCACGCCTAGCACCATTTCGCGGCACGCCTAGCACCATTTCGCGGCACGCCTAGCAGCATTTCGCGGCACGCCGGTTGTGAAGCTCTGTTTCGAGATCATAATGAAGAAGACGGTATAAATCAAATTCCATCCTGGGTTCATTTTTAGCAAGGAAAACGTTTTGAGAGCGGTGGACGGGGCTATCATCAGTGGTACCAACTATTAATGTCAAACTATACGGATACATTTTTTAACTCTGCAGATCATTGGCGTATAGGATATATTTCTTACGGAAACATGTTTAAAATAATCATAAAAAGCTATTACGTTTTTCTCTTCAAATATATGTACGCCTCTGTGATTATAGTGTGGGGCTCTATGTCATTTGACCGTGACGCTTGTGATTATAGTGTGGGGCTCTATGTCATTTGACCGTGACGCTTGTGATTATAGTGTGGGGTTCTATGTCATTTGACCGTGACGCTTGTGATTATAGTGTGGGGTTCTATGTCATTTGACCGTGACGCTTGTGATTATAGTGTGGGGTTCTATGTCATTTGACCGTGACGCTTGTGATTATAGTGTGGGGTTCTATGTCATTTGACCGTGACGCTTGTGATTATAGTGTGGGGTTCTATGTCATTTGACCGTGACGCTTGTGATTATAGTGTGGGGCTCTATGTCATTTGACCGTGAGGCTTGTGATTGTAGTGTGTCTCTATGTCATTTGATCGTTCTCTAAGTCATTTGATCCCGAGGCCTTGTCATATTTTATAACCGATATTTATTTGACAGTATTCTCATCAGCGATGACTTTCAATTATCAACATACACGTTTGTTAAAAGAAGCAAAAAAAAAAAAAAAATTTAAAAAATTAAAATTAAATTAAAAAATCACAAAAGTTGAGAAGCACAGTTTTGCTTCCAATCATGTTCTGGTGGCCTTTTTCACATTTTGTCCCCCCGGACATTCTAAACTTCTTACATGTTATTTTAGCTCATATCTTTTCGAATTGTCCGTAGGTTTACATTCAGGTGATAACCATGGTTACCATTGTATCCCAGCTGATCTGACGGGTACCGCTCTCTAAGAAATGCATCACTGTGCATTAACTTAACGCTCTACACACTCGCTTATGAAGATGATCGGAGCGGGGGGTGGGGGTGGGAGGGAGGCACTCTTTGATGAGGATGACATTTTCGGTCCACTGCATACGTCACACAATATGGGGGCCTACTGATGCGTCTTTTGTGTGCTTTAAGGCAAACCCCAGGACCGTCTAATGCAGTGGTTCTTAACCTTCCTAATGACACGACCTCTTAATACAGATCCTCATGCTGTGGTGACCCCAAACCATATCATTATTTTCGTTGCTACTTCATAAATATGTGTTTTTTTAACGATGGTCTTAGGAGGACCATTGTGTAAGGGTCGTTCGACCCAACCCCCCCCCCCCCCCAGTGGTCGCGACCCACAGGTTGAGAACCGCTGGTCTAAGGTGACGCGTAAATGAACGTGCACAAGGCCATACAAAATGCGCCGCACAGTGCCCCGAACACTGTTTCATTAAATATGGCCAAGGTTCAAGGGGAAAAAACAACAAACTCCTCAAAAAGTGATTTAACGAGGAAACGCTTTCCTTGAAAAAATGAAGCTGTATCTGTCACCGTGTTGACAGTTTCCACGGTGGTAGCTTATCATGTCATCGGGTGATAATGTCCTGCTGACGTAAGACATGCATACATATATACAAAACCATGTTTTAGGTCACTAGCGTATACACAAATTATGTAAAGGAAGACCAGATAATTTTGGTCCAGGTTTTGCAAGGATTCTACTGCCGGTGTGGTTGTATTCAATGGAGAAACAGAATATTGTGTTGTGACATATGGCAATGTAAGGCGGAAGGTGTATGGATAGGTAAAAATGTGTTTATGTCAGCTTTATAATTTACTTATGTATCTATCTTTGATTAAGTATCGGTTTATGCTCTAAATTTTTTATATCGTATGCTTTATACGAATTGATAGGGGTTGCAAGACTAATCAATTAATGCATGGGTTGCAGTGTATAGAAACGTTGTGAACCACTGCCTTAGGCCACAATGATCTTAAGATCAAGAAACGAATCAATACAGATTCAAGAGATTGAGATATATAATAAAAACTGTGCCTCTTCCAGGGCCCTAAAGGCCATAATACTTTGGCCCATTTTCATGTCTTTCACCAACAACTGTTTTTTGAGTTCTTGAAAAGTTTACTCTTTCTGGAAATCTTATTGACAGCCAGTAAAAGTTCAGCTAACGGGATTTCTACATGCAACGGTGCCAGAGTTTTATAGGGAGGTCAATGAGCTGCATCCGGGATAGAATTGGCAGAACGGCAATATCAAATGTGTGGTAGTGTTAACTGCATAGCCATGTGATGTATGTGATAGAATTAGGAGTACGGCAATATCAAATGTGTGGTGGTGTTAACTGCTATAGCCATGTGATGTATGTGATAGAATTAGGAGTACGGCAATATCAAATGTGTGGTAGTGTTAACTGCTATAGCCATGTGATGTATGTGATAGAATTATTAGCCGTATAAGCGTGCGATTTGTTTTGTATTTACTGTAATGATAGTTTGATAGGCCAGATGTTGCTCAAAGGATATGTATGTATTTCAAATGTGGTTATTTTTCAAACTTTTATTATTGACGACTGAGTAAATTTGTGGGTAGGCCGACTAGTTAAATTCTCTATGTCATATACAATTGTTATAAATTGCAATGCACTCTTTCTTTAAAATATAGTTGTTACTTGATTGAAATCCGTTACACACTCCCCTAGACACTAATTTCGCAACCTGAAAACTATTTTTGAAAAAGATGCATCGCGTTTTCAATAAAGCGTTTTTTGATGTATGGTAATTTGACCTTGTGACCTGAGCTTAACAATCAACCATGAGAAATACATTATCTTACCCTCAGAAAGGCCACCAATTGACCTTTCACATGTTTGTATTCTATGGTCACCCCACGATTTTCTGGCCATATGTTTCAACCCTCTTCCTGAGGTCCTGTTACGTTCTCCAAGCCCGAAACGAAGAGATTTATTTGTCTTGAGTATTCTAACACATCTCAATTTATCTTTACTTTTAAGGATGAAGACGAACGATGCACACGGACCAGAATCGGAAGTCTTTGAGTCACCGGTTGAGTGAGCATGATGCAGCCACGGATCAAGCCTTTGCTGGCATTACTCGTGCTGACATCCTTGTACCATCCTGGTCAACCCGACGGCTGTGATCCGGACATTCCGTCACGGTCGCTGCCCAAAAATTACATGGCTGCGTTCAAGACGGACAAAAGACCAGAGACGTGTTCCAGGGGGCAGTACTTGAACGGGAGCGAGTGCAAGCCGTGCGGTCACGGCACGTTCATGACCAGTCAGATGGCCCAAGAGAACACTCACGCACACTGCCTCCCGTGTAATGAGCCTGGAATGGTATGTTAAGGGGAAAAAGGAAGTAAAAAGTAGTTGATTTTTTTTTTCAATAGGAAATTTAAAAAAAAATTCACGTTGATAGTTTTAGCTTTAAAATAAAGAAACAAAATTATGGCACCAAATGTATTGATAATTTTTGGCTCATTAATATCTTAAATTCCAGTCAGTCCGCTGGATGTATAGGACGTTTCTGTTGGTCTTTCCTAACTGAAGGGTTGAAAATCCCTCGATTGCTCAAAAAGACTGCCAAGCCTGAGAAGTTAACGCGTCTGTGATTAATCATGTCCATTGAAAACGTCAACATTGTAGTTGTAGAATCTTATGTATATAGTTAATAGATTCATCCTAAATGTTATTTCGAATGCAATAAATGCGATTTTAACAAAGAAAATACTCGGGGAAAGGGAAGCAGATTCTACCTTCGACCTTGAGGAATTAAAAAAAAAAAATAGACGCTTTATTTACTTTTAAGGCTTTGTCAATGATTAGATGAAGTTATAAATAATAGTCAAGTTATGCCATACGACCCAATCAGACACCCTGTATAAGTTCCAATACTCTGTTTTATATGCACGCGAATATTACCTTTATCAGTTGTCTCCCATCAGAGGTTCACACATTCAAAATAATATCAGTTACAGGCTTCAGGATATTTTTTTTTTGTTGCAGTATGAAATAACAACTGAACCTTGCACTACGACAAGAGACGCCAAGATCATGTGTGAAGACGGATATTATCGAGTTAAAGTACCGGGAAAACCCTGTCAGTCTGAGTGCAGACGGTGCGATGTGTGCGGTCTTGGGATCAACATGTTTAAGAACTATGAAGGGCGCGAGTGCAGCGGCGACCAAAACACAATCTGTTGCCACGAAGAACACATGGTCGTGGTGGATGGTGATTGCAAGAACAGACCCACTACACCGCCTCCAACATCAACCACACCAACGTCGACTTCCACAACAATCTCGGAATATCAGTCGGTATTCAGTGACGAAATCAAGGTCGGGTTTTTGAGGAGCAGCGGAGAGACCCTTCACCACAGTGGTTATATCCCCTTGGTGTTAACTGTCTGCGTCGTCGTCGTCTTAGCCAAGCATGGATCTATATTTTCCTAAATTAACAACAAAATTAACCCGAGTCTCAGTCACTGAGTTAAAGAGTTTTACAGACGATAATGAATCTTGTGACTGAGTGTCTTAAACTTTTCACTGGACGATTCCGTTGCCTTGGTGAAAAGTTACATTAAAATTAGACCAATGCGCATTTTATAAAGGACCCTCAGTCTCATAGCGACTTATAAACTTCAACCGTGTTGGGTTTTGATTTCCACGCATTGAACTGTATAAATAATCCTTGTATCTTTTGTAAACTGCTATGTATCTTTAATAATGTTTTCAACCACTGAAGTGCTTATCTCATCTCCTGGAAGAAGGAGTTGATCAAACTCAGACAACCAGATACCTGTGTATAGTTTGTTAATAAACTGACTTGGTGTTGAATGCGTGTTTTTTAAATATATCCTTTATATTAACTTCCCTTTTATTTTTGGCTGGCTGGCTGGGTGGCTGGCTGGCTGGGTGGCTGGCTGGCTGGGTGGCTGGCAAAAATCTTCGGACGGCCAATTGACCCCACGTATCGAGCTGAAACTTGGCACATAGACTCGTTGCAAAAACATTCTCTCAAATTTTCAGCCCCAACCCCCAAATATCCTTTTGTTCAAGGGGAACATAAAATAACATTCCCGAAAACTGCGCTAAATGAGATTAATTTCTTACAAAAATCGTAGGTGCGTTTAGAACGTAATATTTTCTTTTGTTTTTCTTAAATTGTTGGTCAAATAAATCGACGGTGTAAAAGTGGGTGGTTCATTAGAATATTAATATAATCCAGGGCTGTGAAAAAAAAAATGTGTTGTTGCCAGCCATTTGGGGGGGGGGGGCAGGCCTTATTGGGATTCTTATATTGTGTGTTATTTGTATCCATATTTTGTCAATTGTTTAGCCCCACCCCCCTTGCTAAATGTTACCTTTTTTCAAAAGTTTGCTTCGAATAACTTTGTTATTGGGCGGGGAAAAAAAAAATGTGTTGTTGCCAGCCATTTGGGGGGGGGGGGGCAGGCCTTATTGGGATTCTTATAATGTGTGTTACTTGTATCCATATTTTGTCAAATGTTTAGCCCCACCCCCATTGCTAAATGTTACCTTTTTTCAAAAGATTGCTGCGAATAACTTTGTTATTTTTTTAGAGGTTGTTCATTTAAAACTATACGCTACTATGAGTTACTTGTTTATGTTGTAGTTGTCTTGACGTAAGTGTGGGCAATGACCATATAAAGGATTGTTTTACTTTCACTAAGCACGTGAAAGCATCGCTCTACTCCAGTAACCTACAAAATATTATTGTTACATAAGTTTGAGAACTACATTAAAATAGATAAGATAAAAGATTGCAAACACACAAAATGGATTATTTATAAGAAATTCCTTCCAATTTCATACTACTTTATAAGTACTGTTGGAATTTTAGTCCACATAATGTTATTTATTATATTTTTGCATATTTATTTACCAATGGTCTGCCGCGGAAATATTGACAAGTACTAGTGAGAAAGGTTGCTGAGCTCTTCGCTAGATTGATGAAATTGAAAACATGTTTTTGAAAATTGTGTAATCTTTCGCGGGGCCCCCTTGATGAAGCAGAGGGATCCCTGAGCATTGACTCACTAGTTGGGAACCATTGTATGCTACAAGGTGCAGATTCTTGTAAACAGGAATAAAATTCTTAAGGATATGTTATACAATTATAAACCAGCAGTTTCTCTGTAAAATCTTGTTTAACAGAACTGTAAATTACTGGCACAAATACTTTGTTCACGGCATGCCAATATTTTCATTTGGAGGGTAACTTCAAGCAGTGCAATGCAAGGTAACCAGAAATGAATTCGTTAAATCACTGTTAAATGGGTTAAACCCCTTTGATTTCCGTTTTCATTTTTTTTTTTGGTGTGGGGGGGGGGGGGGGGTGTTG